ATATATATATATATATATATATATGTAAATATATATTGGCTTTGGGGAGGCTATTTTCATACTTCTCTTTTAATCATTTTCACGACGACTTTATTTGTATCGGGTTTTAGATAATTACAGCTAATGGCGGTGAATGCGGGCAAATCACTCATTTTCGAACTTGGTCTGTCAAGTTCAATTTTTTATTTGAATGATTGCAATCGTGGGCTTTGAAGGAGAGATACATAAGGCAAAAAATCAACACGCATTGTTAAATGACGCGTAGCACTTGATGTTTTCGCGTGTTACAAACTTCCTTGCTAAGTTCAAGGTCATTTTAACGGACTTTTTTTATTTCCTACCGCAAATCAACCGTAATTTTCCTTATGTGAGGAGTGAAAGTAGGGCCTCTGCTAATCAAACTCATTAATCAAGTGAATACATAAAACTAAATAAATTGTATCTGTACTTCCACGGTCTACGCATTCGAGATTGTTCCCATTTCTTTTTTAAGACATTTTAGATAGGGGCTATTAATGCACCCACTTTATTGTACTTTACTGTATAGTACTGTGAGGTAATTTTGGATTGGTCCAAGTACTTATGGGCTAATATGTTACATGTAAACATTTCAATGCACAGTATACTTTATATATATGTATGTTTGTAAATTTTTCAAAAAGAGAAAAATTTTTATGCTGTAAATGACTTGTGGCGCAAGGGTATATTAAATTTGTACGGACGTATGCAACACGCAGACGAACTTGAGATAGACTCACATTTTATTATACCAGCGGATTCAAAATCACTTTTACATCGATGTGAACCAGTTTGCCCGTCTCCTCGTTCGTTTGTTTTACATATTTGATTAACGAGTTTGCATCAAAACAAACGTAGGCTGGCAGAGTTCCTTTAAATGGAGATGCCTAGGGAGGATGGCTGAAATGTTGTCATTTTTAAATATTTCTTTTTTAATACTTAATTATACGCTTAATAATCTTTTCATATATGAATATTTTACAAAAATTTTCTTTTCAAACCCGCAAAAAATTGTGAAAAATCCCGTTGGGTTTACTCTACTGTTATGGATTAAGTACGTATGGATGTGTTTCCGTTTTGTTCTTCTTTTACTTGCATTAAAAACAGGATTACGAAACATGCTTTTAGTGTTAGAACCTATTTAAACTATTAATGCGTACCTCTGCAACAAAACAATCGGAATTAAAAACATTATCATCGTACGAATATATGACTGTATAGTGTATAACGTACAAACAAACATTAACATGTATAAACACGAATGGTTATCCCGCATATCTTTCCATTTACTACTTGTATATGTGTGTTATCGATTTGTAAATCGCTTTGCGGAGGGCACAACATAAAGGAATAAAAAAAAAAGGAAAATACAAAAACAATGAAAACAAGGGATATAATGCAAAATCAATAGATTATTGAAAGCAGGATTGAGTATATATTTGAGTATATATATATATATATATATATATATATATAAGGGAAATGAACTTTTTATAGTAGAAAAAATAATTGAAAGCAAGCAAAGGTAGAAAAGGTTCATGCGACGCCCCTTTTTATATAAATATTAAACAATTTGAGTAAACAATTTGAATGCGCAATCGATTTGACTCATGTGTGTGTATAAATAAACGAAATAATGAACTACTTTATGGTATTGTGTTGTTTTATAGAAGCACGTGATTAGTGCCCGATTGGGTTTGGAAAAAAAGGACTTTCGCCGCATTTATGGATACGAAAAACTGGGTCAATTAGAATTAAAGTCTTTTTCCCTTTTTTTTTTTCTAAAGGTGAACATGCGTAATAGTCATTGTGAGTGAGTTTTTTTTTTTTCGAACACAATGCCACACATCCAGGCAGCAACTTAACCAAATAATATCGATAAATACACATACATATACATATATTTTTTTTTAATTTCTATTTTTTATTATAGTAGGTGTACGAATAAGTTCTTTGTGTTGAAATTGTTCGCTTTGCAAAATCTGCTTGTCCGATTCATTTCTCCC